CTTACCAACTGTGTCTCCTAGTCTGCTTAGATTCGCCCTTGTTCTTCACGACTTTGACACCTTTGAAGACTCGGGCATTTTGTAGAATTTCCCACATCTGAGTTGCTGGTATTTTCCCATGATTAGACTGAGGTTCTGCACTCCTGGAAACGGGACCACAGCCCTCATCAGCATCTCCTATAAAGTAGTGCATGAGATCCATGTTTTATCACTGGTGATACTGGGGCAGGACAGAGAGGCAGGGGAAATCTTGGAGATGTGAGGATGAGAAAAGAAGCCCCTGACTCTGGAATCTGGATGAAGCCTTCACCAACATCAGAGCAAGAATTCTAGCACAATTAGCAACTGCTTGAGGCTTTTCCCTTTCCCAATCATTCACCCGCAGTTTTCTAGGGATCTCACCAGAAACTTCCCTTACAGGGAAAGGATATGAGCCAAACCTGTGGACAACCCTGCTGGCTTGTGGTTTTACCTTATCAGATCATAATTCCACCCAAGGCATCTCCAGACTCCCCCCCCCAACCCATGGATCTCATCAAGACAGAGTGAAGGAACAGGTTTCTTACAATCTCTTATAGTGGAGATTAAAAAAACACATCAGATGGTTGATAAAAAGCTCTTGCAATGTGCTGGGCGTGGTGGCGTTAAGCCTTTAATCCCAGTACTCAGGAGGCAGAGGCAAGTGGGTCTCTGACTTCAAGGCCAGCCTCTTGGTCTACACAGTGAGTTTCAGGCCAGCTGGGGCTACTGGGAGACCCTGCCTCAAAAAGACCCCCCCCAAAAAAGCTCTTGTAATGTGACGGTAATTAAGAACTTTGGAGCAGGAAAAGCCTGGAGATAGGAGATAGAAATGGGGGAGGAGAACAGGACTCTTCCTCCACCCCTACAGTTACCCAGGATAGAAGTCTTTCTTTCCCAAAGCTACCACGTTCCTGTAACCCTCAAGGCCATATGTTACTTGTAAATTACCATGTATGTGCTATTTACCTTTTGCTTGCATTCCTCACATATGAGCATAAATATCCCTCCAAACTTGAACAAGTGGCGGACACCTTTACAGAATGATCCATGTGTCAGTCTCACTACTATTAAGAATAAACTCTCTCCTCACCTGACTTTGGCTACTTGTCTCTCCTGATTTTCTGTAACACTTTTGAGATATAAAGATCTTGAGATCAAGCTGGGCATGGTGGTGCACGCCTTTAGTCCCAGCACTTGGGAGGCAGAGGAAGGCGGATCTCTGTGAGTTCAAGGCCAGCCTGGTCTACATAGTGAGTCCCAGGACAGCTGGGGCTACAGGGAGACCCTGTCTCAAAGGACCAAAAAAAAAAAAAAAGATCTTGATTGATAGCAACTCTGTCTCCAAGAAGCCCATATCCTTGTTTAGGTTCCTCTCACTCTCCCGTCCTCTCTGTTGGGGAGCACACATCCCCTGAAGTGTGTGTTACTTTCGCCCGAGTGCCTCTTCTTTTAATCCTCATGCTTAAGCTGATATATTAAAATATCTTTAATGAAATCACTAACTTTACTTCACTAGTCCAGCTAATCTTAAAATTCTTTTTGACACTGAAGGCACGAACCCTGGTTTGTGTGAGGTGAACTCCCTAAAAGCGTAGAGAAGTCCTCGGGCTGCACTGGGAAGGGGTGGCAGTGTGGACCCGGTGTCTGTGCTCTCACTGCTGATAACGTTAGCCTTGATCATTTGATGAAAGTGATTTTTGCTGTGTTTACCTATTGTACAGTTACTGTTTTTAATTTGGTCATTGAGGGAGATACATTTAGACTATGCAGGTATGGTATTTCTCCTAATCTCTCTCCTCACTAATGATCATCTCAATTGCAAGGATTATTGTATTGCCCCAAGGATGATTTTTTTTATCTCCTCATGGTTTCTACATTTATTTATTAGAATTCTTTTGTAATAACATGCTACTCTTTCTCCAGTTGTTTATTTGTTCTGTTCTTTATTGCAAAATCATGAGATTGTATTTATTTCACTTTGTGGGTCTGACTATCCAATGGTGCTATTTATTTTGATGCTTAAACTTAAGGCCCTTTTTAAACGCTCTGTGCCTAGGACCGCTCCAAGTGATGTAGGCCAGAATCTATGGTCATGGATGCAGGCAGCATTTCTGTAACACTGCACTGTGCATTAAATACTGATCCCTCCACTCTCCTCACCTGCTTTCTCTTTAAAAAAAAGAAACAAAAAGAGGACAAAAAGTCCTTCTTCATGTTCTGTTGTCAGAGAGCAGAGCAGGCTGCAGCCAGGGGAAGCTTGCTCTGGAATTGTTTTAGACAGGGTCTCCTTTAGCCCCAGATGGCCCAGATGGCCTTGCTATGGAGACCCGGTTGGACTCAATCTCACAGTGATCCACCTACCTCTGAGATTAAAGGTGTGCACCACCAGGCCTGGTGACCCAGGCCTTTTGCACACAGCCTTCACGTATGGAAATTAGCAGATATTGATAGTTTGCACAGGGATAGGGCAAGGAAGAGAAAGCTCTGCAGCCTTTAGAGAGCAGGTTGGGGAAGCAACCTAAGAAGCAAGGAATGAATGAATGAAAAGTGGAGGGCAGGCTTCCAGCCTGGGGAGCTGGGGCACTGCTCCTGCCCTGCTCAGCTCTGCCTTCCCAAGCCCTGCAAAGCATTTTTTCACTGGTTGTACAGAGTGTCAAAGGATAAAAGCAACTGTCACCTACATGAATGGCTCACTTGGACACCTCTGAAACTGTGATACGCAAATACATAAATCTAATTCTCTTTGTAGCTGATCAATATGGAGTCCAGATTAGCTTTCATTCAAAGAGATGGTCCTCCTGAATAAGGAAATTGATCTCGGGGCATCCTTTAGCTGATTTCCAATTACTCTGTGTTCCTAAGTGCAAAATCAATCACATGATATTTTTAGAAACCTAATTGTTTCTTTAGTAGATTGATGCCAATAAGATGCCTAAAACGTGGGTGAATCAGATTTAAAACCTGATTTGAGATGAAAGAAAAACTTCCGCAGTGATAGCATGGCGGGGTGGACTTGGTACCCATTCCCACACCTGCGGAGTTCACATGCCCTTGTTTTTTCCAGATTTGATTTATTTACTTATTGCTGCTATTTTCGTTTTGACGTCCGTCTGTCTGTCTGAGACAGGGTCTCAGTCTGTATCGCAGATTGAGTTTTCGCATGGTCCTCCTTCTTCAGCCTCTTACGTGCTAGGATTACAGGCGGGAGGCTCCACACCAGCTCTTCCATCTTTGCTTGTTTCTCCACAGTAGTCAGCTCCAACCTGCCTCTTCCCCAGTATGAATTCTTTGAAGTGGAAACACTTTCTAACAAAACTTTACAGGAATTCCAGTTTCTAGGGGTTATCAGTGACATCTTAATGACTAGACAGGGCAGGTGTGCGTTCCCCTGTTCCAAGACAGGCCTATTGGAGATGCAAAGTGTTAACAGTGCAACACCCAGCCAGGATGAGGAATGCTTAGAATGCCGCATGACAAAAATAAATCTCTCTTCCTGGAAGAGCTTTGACCTAAGAGGGGAAGCTGCCCAAAGGTTTATTGTTGCCAGAGCCACAGACCTGACACCTCTTCTGATAAAAGACTTCAATCTCTGACCCCTGAGAGACTGCTGCGCTAAAACTCATTTGAGTATTGATCTCCTCTGAAGAAAGCGAATAGGTACTAGCAGGCTGAGCATCTTGGAAATGGAGCTCCAGTTTTAGAGGACAGCCTCAGGCATCCGGCTCTGACTGGACACTGCAAGGACCCCAGTGGCTTTGGCATTTTCTGTCTCTAGCAGGAGTGTCCAACCTTTTGACTTTGTGACCTGACGCTATGGTCTACAAATGTGTTGCAGTCTTAACTATCTTGAGATACATGTGGCCTGTATACCCCAGCTTAGATGTGCCTGGAAGCTTAAATTAGCAAAAGTTTATCTGGTGGGAGACTTGGATGAATCTTATCATCTACTGTTCAAAGCCGGATGAGGTGGGGGCACTGTTCTTCAATGGACACTGGTTTGATACCAGAGCCCTTTTGTATCCCCATAACAAAGACACCCATCCCCTCACGTGTTAGTACTAGGTATATCACCTTGAGGAATTTGAGACAGAGATGGGGACATAGTCAAAAACATGTTGGAACTATCAGCCTTCCCAGCAAGGATTGAAAAGTTGGAGTTTCTGGACCAGGAGACACTAGACTTTAAACCTGTGGCCAAGCAGAACAGCAGACGTTGGAAGCCCCTGGCTGGCTGTCTTTTCTCCCATGGGATCATACTTAGAACCACTGACTTTCCATATTTGGAGGAGAAAGCATCTAGAGGGGCTTGCTACTCAGCCGCTAACTCCCTATACAGTTCTTCAATGACAGAATGCAAACATTGTTTATGGAGCCCCTACTAGGCATGTTCTAGAAATAAGATAGATCGCTGTCTTCACGAGCAGACGATAACTAGATAACTGCAATTTCAAGTAGAGTAACACTCTAAAGAAACTGATAATGAGATGGAGTAGTGGGAGCTGGAGGCAGGAGGGTGCATTTGATGTCCCCCAGCGAGCAGACAGGAACTAGGGGGTAAGATTCAAACTGGTGATCACCCTCAAGTGCAAACACTCTGAGGTAGGGGCCAGGTTGGCGTAGCTGCCAGTCAGAAAGTCTAGTATGGCTGGAGCAGTGACCAAGGCAGGATGGCTTAGGACAGGACTCTAGATAGGAATCAGCTCATGGCAGGTCCTTCCAGTCATGTGTTGCTATGACTGGAAACCTCTGGGTGTTTCGGTCCATTCATTTTACAACATTAAAACGTTTCTTATTGCTTCAACATCAGAAAAAACATTTGCTGAAATTCATTTGATGACAAAATACAATCTGTGCTTATCAGCTTATTAAACCTTTCCTGAACTGGTCAATGAAAAACCTGGTTTCACTTTGCATGTGTGTTTTGGGGTTTTTCCCGTGTTTCACTTTGCTTTAATGCGTGATCTCATTTCCTCCCGCAGGGACCCTAACCACCCCTCAGTACCTTATCATTACTATGAGCCTTTTGGACCTGATGAATGTACAATGTACCTCTCCCATGAGCGAGGACGCAAGGGCAGTCATCACCGTTTCATCACAGAGAAACGAGTGTTTAAGAACTGGGCACGGACATTCAACATTCACTTTTTTCAACCAGACTGGAAACCAGAATCACCTGGTACAAATCATGCTGAAAATAAGCCTGTATTCTGAGGAAGGACTGCGCTAGACTGTAATGCCAGATACCCACAGTGTCAGGCACGAGGCCAGGGACTTCTTGAAGCACCAGGCAGGAAAGGGGAACTGAACTGGTGACAGATAAGAGCCCCACCCCTCAGCACCCTGGACAACTGCCTGGCGGACCTGCAGCCCATGTGGTGTGTGAAAACATTCCAGAATGAACTCATCCTAAGGAGTGATGTCTCTTGGAAAGGGAAGCTGAGCCCTTGATTCAGTGACACTGCCAAGGCTGAGAACACTCCAGAAGCGCTGCCTTTGAAACTGAAACACTAGCAGCCCAGCGCCCTTGGCTGCGTTTCTTTGTAGTCATACCATGTCAAGACTCTTCTGTCGGGCTGTCCTCTGACCTGACCTGTAACCTTTGTCATTTGATGAATCTGATTTGTAAAAAGCCAGAAAGTACAGACACGACTTCTGAAGAGCACATCTCCAATGACCATCATGAAGCAAATGTCTGCTATTTATTTATTGAGAGTTTTTTAGTGTATTCTAGGCCAGTATTTTTATAGATTATGATTATGTGGTAATTTATTCTTCCTGACTCTTTAATCCTGAATGGTGTTGGAATGGTCTAGAACTGAGCTGGCAAGTTACTGCATTCATGACGCTCATCATTAGCATGAAATCGGTACATGACTTGAAAATCTTTTGTGGCATTTTTTGAACCCTGGGCTTCAGGCAAATTGCTCTTCCATGAGAACAGCTATAACATTTTCTAATGTACATAAGTGTCCAAAAGAACAAAAATCAAAAACCAAAAACTGTGTTATTAAAACAAAAAGATGCCAACGAGAGAAATGTAAAGATGCGATAGTTTCTTTCATAACAACTGATAAAGTAACTTCTCTTCGGTTGCACTTTCCTCTTCTTCAGAATGATGCTGCACCAGATGATCTCTCGGCTTCTCGTGCAAAGCTAAGATTGTGTGGTCCTCTAGCTGCCCAGCTGAGGTCTAGACAGGGCTAGATCTGGAATGACAGGCCTCCAAGAGCAGCAGGAACCTACAGTGGGCATGGGGGTGGGTGTTACGGTTCAGAACTACGTACCTCTCTCTGGGGTTGAAAGCATGTTTCCTCCTGGATCTCTCTGGACTAACTCCATTTCCTGTTTCTCTGGGGGGGGGGAGAGGAGAGAGAGAGAGAGGGAGAGAGAGAGAGAGAGAGAGGAGGGGAAGCGGGGGAGATCTGAATGTTCTCTGGCTTCAGGTGCTGAGAGCTGCCCTTTTTTGAGAGGACATTCCCTGGCACACAACCTACTATCCCATAAACCATTCAGACTCACTCACTGCCAATCTTAGTCTGAAGGAATAGAAAAGACTCAAGTTATTCAAAGCCAAAATGAACTAGTATTATAGATTTTTCTTTTCAACAAGTAATATTGTTCAAAAATTCTTTTAAAAAGGATTTTGTTTTAGGTGTGTAGATGTTTTGCCAGCATGTAAATGCACCACATGCATACAGTGCCTGAGGAGGCCAGAAGAGGGCATCATTGGACCACCTGGAGCTCAAATTACAGATGGTTGTGATCTGCCATGTAGGTGCTGGGAACTGAACCCAGGTCCTCTGCAAGAGCAGCCAGTGCTCTTAACCATTGAACCATCTCTCTAGCCCCTCAAAAAAGGCTATAAAGAATTTACCAGCATTTTCTTTACATACCCTCAAAGGGACATTAGCATCTCTAATGCCAAATTTGAAGGCACCAACTCATATAAAGAGGAGACTAACATTGCTTTACAAGCAGGACCTGGCTTGTGATTAAAGGTCTCTCACCACTTCTTTTCTCTCTTCTTAATTAATAATAAGGTCACATTCTCTTCCATTAACCTGCACTGTTAATTACAGAGAGTACTGTTATGGAAATACAAACATACTCTAGGTATTCAGATAGCAGAAACAAAGTATTATTGTGGTGTGGCCTGAGCTGGGAAAAGCCAGTAAAAGAGAAAATTGAAGTGGCTGACCAAGGCATACTGGGAGTCAATCTTCACATTTTTTTCACAGTTTTTATGGAGCTACAAGTTTTTTCTACCACAATCTCTTCCACAGCATGACCTCTGAGCAGTCTTTGTATAAACCAAGGAAGAAGTGTATGAATTTTACACAATTGACTTATGGGTCACCTTTACAATCACTTGAAGAGACTATTTGGTAAAATGTAAGTGGCTCCTTTGACAACTCCTATACTTAGGGAAATTTGGAAAAATATAGTTGCAAGGATGCAATTCTATTACCCGATCTAATATCCCACATTGTCTGTGTATCTTTAGGTCTTTCTTCTTAAAAAGGAAAAAAAAAAAAAAAAAGAATATCAAGATAGCTCCATGTTTTTTGTAATTTTTTCCTCTCAAATACTCAAAAGAATAAAAAGCAACCAGATGCCAAAAGTCTTGGCGTCCTAGCTGAGAATTGTTTTAAATCACATGTAGCTACAGTACATAAGTTCATATTTTCTCAAAAATGTGGTTTATAACAGTGTAAGAAATTATCACGTGGGTCATGATTTTACAGCATTGAAGAAAATGCCTAAAGTTCTGATGGCTTGTGCTGATGGACCTGGTTGTGGGCAATTGAACTTTTTCTTAACCATTATCATTTCATGACTGTCAGACTTAATGCCATTCAACACCATTAAACATAAACTCTGATATAAAAGATACAAAACCCTGTTTATAGACCTGGGTGATTTCAGTACATTTGGAGTCTCAGTCATACTTGGGATGTTATATACCTTTTTCTTCTCCCTTAGCGGTGTCATCAGCCTCCTCCTAGCTTTTAAGACCACAGTAATAGGATACCACAGCTGGCCGATCCATGGCTTCTGTTATTTCAAAGCAAGAACATTTGGCAGAGGCCATTACAATAGATATCCATTATGGGCAAAGATACAGGAATTCACAAACTAAATCAATCACTTCAAATGGCCCATAAAAAGAGGAATCACACATTTAATATTCTACAGTAAATATTCACCCAAGAAAGCGTACATTAAAAGACCATTAGGAGGTAAATATTCAGTATGCTGCTTGGGGACTTGGCTGTGTGATTTCCATTCCTATAAAAGGATGTTAGGGAGCTAAGCCCCTGCGCTTAGTTTACCCTGCTGTAATCCTTAGGATTAGGCATAGAAACAGCAATTTAGGGACACCCAGGTCTTAAGAATTCAGAACACAACACTGTCTTTATAAAACTAAATGAAAGCAAAAAACCAAAGTCCTATACCTGAAGGTAGGTAAATTTGTGTGGCTTCTGAATCCTTAGGTTGCTATTGAATTTGTGTTCCAAATTGCAAGGCATCTATGTCTTCCAAAAGTCCTCTCTATGGCTGACCCATTTGAATTATGAGTGGAAACAGATAATTTCGTGTTGAAATAAACACACACTTAAAAATTTCAAAAGACGGCCAAGCTTGGCGGTGCACACTTTTAGTTCCAGCACTCGGGAAGCAGAGGCAGGCAGATCTCTGTGAGATCAAGGCCAGCCTAATCTACATAGTGAGTTCCAGACCAACTGGAGCTATAGAGAGACCCTGTCTCCAAAAAAAAAACCCCAAAGACAGTGTTATTTGAATACATATGTACCTATTCTGTACCCCTCCAAATAGTTGAATGACCTGATTTCAGAAACAGACCCTGGGTTCCCCCAGAGGGAATCTTACCTAGAGAGAAGGTCCATAGTCCTCTCCTATTCTATAAGGTTCCCACTGACCAGGCCTTTCCTCCATCCTCCTGGCTTCTCTTGAACCTCCTGCCTTCTTGCTCTGTCTCTCCTAACCCTCTCCTGTCTTCGGTGTGCTTGCAAACCCCGGGTCTTGGGTTGGTCAGGTCTTCCTGGTGGGCTGTAAACTCAAGATCTGTCCAGGGAGCAGATTCTGTGTTGGTCCTTGCAGAGCAGTGGCTGTTCTGCTGCAGGAGTTCAGCTCACTACAGGACGAGGGACCTCAGAAATGCCGCTTGTTGGCCCAGCCTGAGGAGGACGGAGAAGTCCAAACGCTAAAAGTGGGGTCAGCTTGAACAAAGTGGCTCAGAAGGCCAACCTCGCAGAAGCTTCTCAAAGAAAACTGTAAGACAGTCTGAGGAGGCAGGGCAGGAGGAAGGATCAGGTTGCCTAGGTTTTAGTACATACCAGAAGATACTTCAGAGTGGAAAGAGGTGAGACTTTCTAGAAGGTTCAGAACTGTTCTAGCTCACTCCCCTACCTACTCAGGGTATTGAAATGTAAATGCAAAAAAGGCTGAAATCCTGTTTTCCTACTGCCTGAATGTGACACGCTACCTTGGATTGTCCTGTCCCTCTATGTACTTGTCCTGTTAGACTAGATTGTAAGCTCCTTGAGGGCAGGGACTGTATCTCCTTTGTCTTTGTAGCCCTATACCTAGTACTGTGCCTTGCATACAATAGGCACTCAATAAATGTCTGTTGTTAATGTTGACCTCTTTAATATTGACCATTGGATTGATACTTGGATACAAATATATTCTATTTTAAAATAACAAGTGGTACAGCTGGTTGTGAGGTAGATAAATTTTATGTGGGTTTTGTAGGGTCAGTTCCTAAGCATACAATGTATTTAAATACAACAGAACTGACCTACATGTGGCTAGGACAACCTTGAAGTGTTCATTAGATTTGCTAATGTTGGCTGGACTGAATGCATAGGTAAGGTAAAGGTCAGTGAGCTTTGTGTTTCCACTGTTACTGAGCTGCTCTTAGCACAAATTAAATTTAATATTGACAAATGCTACAGTGTGTGTTGAGAGGCAGAAAAACCATGAGGGCTCTGACTTTAGAAGCCGGACTACAAGACAAAAAGAGACTGTGTTAGGCTCACCAGCACCTTGACAGCTTTCTGAAGGTGCTGGGGATCCAACTGGTGGTTTTGAGAGTCTGTTTTAAAATTAAAGACAGATTCACATTAAAAGCAAAAGGGAGCAAAGCAAAAAGTGCATTTGCTTCCACAAACAGCAGATCCAAAGTGGTTTTATCCCTCTCAGGAAGTGAGGGGAGAATACAGCAAAAAGCGTCCCAGCCCATGGAGTCACTGGGGTCCGGCACCTGGGGTCCATCACCACCTAGATGAGGAGAGGGCAAGGCAGTAGGGGAGGAGCGAGCTGTCCCGGAGCCTCTCTATAGGGATGTGAGCAGGGCGGCACTCCACTGCCGACTCCACCCACAGCTCTGTTCAGTCATCGGCCTTTAACGGACTGGGAAGAGGACGGACGTCCACATTTATCTGAGAACAGTGCTTATTTCTGGACTGGAGAGCTACAGATTTTCCCAGAACTTCAGGCTTTTTATTATAATCATAAGATGTTAGTGCATGAGATATTAAGAAAGACATTGCAAGAGCATTTCAAATAATCCCACAGGGGTGGCATGAGACATCAGCTCTGGAGAGCCTGTCTGTGCACTGTGCACGCCACCTTTGCGTGTTTTGGATCTTCATGAAATTAACCCTTTAATTTCCAAATTAGGGGATGCGTAAGACCAAATCAAACTACTCACTTTAAACTTTGCTTCCCGAGTATCCAGTGTGCTTTAGAGAGACACTGTTTGGCCACAATCCCATTCTCTCTCTCTTTCCCTCTCTCTCTCTCCCTCCCTCTCCCCCTTTCCCTCTCGCCCTCCATTGCAAACAAGGAGACTAATAGAGGGCGCACAGCTGGCCCTTCATGTCAATGTGAGCAGATATTCAGCAAGGCTCATTATCCAACTTTGCTAAGGGCTTTACCTCTACAAACATTTAATGATCAAAATAACCCCATATTTTCACTGCTCCCCTTTTCCAGATGCAAGCATTGAGGCACAGGACACTTGAACAACTTACCAAAGCCATAACACTGTTCATTGAGAAAGGCAGATTAGGAGTCAGAGTTGCTTTCTAGAGTCCTTGTCCTTTGTCACCAAGTGCTTCTTGGTAGAAATGTAATCTTATAGGTAATCATTTCTATCAGACCATTCATCAAGTGGGGATAGAGAGATGGCTCTGCAGTTAAGAGCAGCGACCGCTCTTGCAGAGGACCTGGGTATGGTTCCGAGAACGCACATGTTGGCTAACAACCATCTGTCACTCTAGTTCCAGGGAATGCGACACCTTCTTCTGGCCTCTACAGGCATTGCATGACGTGGGTGGACTTCATGCAGGCTAAACATTCATACACATAAAATTTTAAAAAATACATAAAGGGGCTGGAGAGATGGTTCAGTGGTTAAGAACACTGACTGTTCTTGCAGAAGACCCGGGTTCGAATCCAAGCACCCACATGGCAGCTAACAGCTGTCCGTAACTCCAGTTCCAGGGGATCCAACAACAGCCTCTTCTGTCTTCCACGGGCATTTCACAACATGGGTGCACTTACCTACATGTAGGCAATACACACA